TGTTGCAAATTTTCTTTTGAATTTTAAGCTCACCTAATTGAACAAAAATAACACGGGTTTTGTGCCTAACGCCCTTTGGTTTTTACGTGTTCGATGCCCACATAGTACATTTGGCATTAAAGGATTTTTGTTTTGTTTTTTGAGAGAAAATATTTTGTTATATGTAGACACAGGCTTAAAATTCCCTTGAGAATTTAGCATTAGCCTTCTGGGTTGCAAGCCATGTCATTCTGTAGAGTAAGTCAATAGAAATACTGAGAGTCGAATATGGGACAAATAAGAAATATAGAACATTTTGCGTCGTGGTGTGTAAAGTAAATATCACGACAATTGGCTAAAAGTTGGTATGCCCCGTGCGATATAGGATGGTTTTGATAGGTTTAAGCCTATAAGGAATATTGAAGTAAAGACAGGATCCCCATTGCGTATACGTAATGTGAAAGAAGGTGTATATTTTTTAGATGTTTGCACTAATTGAGTTTAGTTGTGACAAAATTCATTTGATGTAGTAGTTCACTACCCCGCAATTGGTCAGAGTTCAATGCCTTTTTTTGTTAGGGCTCACTCCTCTCCTAAAGATCAAACCCTCGATTGAATTGTTGCCAGTGGTATTAAAAAATGCAACTACAAAATGAAGAGGAATCGTCAAATTTACTAATAAACAATTTACGCGCCAATTGCAGACAAAGTCCATACACATCTAAGGTTTATTCAAAAATTGTGTGTAGTGAAAGTTAATTTGTACTTTCTGTTCCCATATCTGTGGTGAAAAGCTATAAGAGCTACAGAGCTTTTGCTGAATATTCTCACAAGCCAAAAAGTTTATTTATAATACTCTCTTAAATGTGGTAAAATATACAACAGAACTAAATTGCGATACTTGCGCTGGAAAGTTTCGATACGTATGTGTAAATTTATTGTCTTATATTTATGTATATGTATTTACGAGAACACTTTTCTCTTAGTATGAGAGCGTAGCACAAGAAAAAATATAAAAGAGAGGCAAAACATATATATGTAAATACATACTCGTTTACGAACAAAGTTATCAGTAGGTTGTGTGATTAAATCTACACAAGCGGCATTTAGAAGCTTTCCATCTTCATTTACCACGATTCGCAAGTGCAAGTCGGTACAGGGAGATAAACCATGAGGTTGTAACTGTGGCGTTGAGGTTAATTCTTCTCTTTTGAGGTCTTTTGCTTCATCACTCTGCGTATTAATTTATTGTGCGCAATGTTGCTTTTAGTTCTGCCCTTACTCCTACCTCTGTTTCTCTGTATCGTGCATCTCGTATTTCGTTTCGTTTTTGTCCATGCTGTCTTTTCAGTATATTCATAACATGCTTCTGATTTTTACAGTTAGTCGCTTTCGAGGCCTTGGCGAGTTTTGTCACGTTAGCGTCCAACGGTAGATTACAGACTAATGAACGAGTAAACTACAAACCGGGTGCAAGAAATAAAACAAACAAAAAATATGGTGTGCAAAATAATTAAATATTTGTAAAAGTAATATTAACAAAAAAGTTTTCGAAGATCAAAGATAAATACATGTATTGATATGTTTTTGAAAAGTGTACTAAGAAAAGATGTTCTCTGAATAACGTTTCTTATAAATAAATAAAAATATATATCATATAGACCCCTTTATACCAAAAAACAGCAGCAGTGTATATGTATTTAGTGTGCAAACAAATAAAATATATGGTGAAAAAATAAAATTATGATAAATCTTAAAAATAAAGCAAATAAAGTTCCTGTTAATTATTATTCAATGAGTCGTTCCCATGAAGAGTAATATCGAAAATGTGTACCTGATTTAAAAATTCCATATGTCGGAGTTTGTTCACAGAGCAAAATTCAACAAAAGCATTTCCAGTTTGCCTAAATAAAAACGCTTTACCAACTTGCATATAAAAAGTTTATGTAAAGGTATATAATTTAAAATAAATTTCATTACAATGACCGAGGAATTACCAATTCTCAAAAGTATACTTAAAGGCAATGTTAACTATCACAATGCACGTAAGTGTCGCTACATATTATGTATGTATGTTAAATTTCCATTAGGTTATGTTTAAAAATATATATATATATTTCTGGCTGTTAGGTATGTATGTATGTACATACATATGTACATACTCTGAAAGAATAAATATATCCCGCTATTCAATTCTTGTTAAATTTATCAACTTTCTTTATTAAAAATATCTATTCGTTATGTGTAATTGATATACATAATAGATTTTTCATCTCAATTGTTGTTAGCTTTGTGTTCCATGCCTATATTTCTTTACATCCTCCTTTTACTTTCTTTTTTGATAGCGTTTTTACCTTTTTCTATATTCGTGGCTTTGAATTTGACTTTACATTCAAATTTCTTTTATTTTATGATTTCTTTTCTCTTTCCTTTTACAAATATAAGTTTGTGCATATGTACATTGTACATACATGCATATGTATGTTTGCTAGAGAAAACATTTCGTTTTCATTTTCATTTGACCCGAATTTCGCCGGCCTGCATTAATGTATGTCAGTGAGATTTCTTCGTGGTGTAGTCGCCGCTTTCGTTGCTGTTTTTTTTATACTTCGTTTTTATCTGGGGCGTGCAACGAGCTAAATGCGCAGCCGCAAAGTAATATGCTTTCTGACTTCTTCTTAACTATTTGCCTCTCACTTCAATTCTACCTTATTGTTAAGATGAGTGTATGTGTAAATTATGTACATATATGTACATATATACATACATACATTCAAATAGGCTTCTTCTCCTCTATATTTCACTTTTGTTGAAATTTTGTTCGCTGGTATTTAAGTCTGTCGTGTTACTTTAGAGGAAAAGTGGTACACACATAGCAGATGAATTAGTTTGAGGAATTAGATATCTACGTACTTACATACATATGTACAAATTTCTATAATTTTATATTGAATGCATCCCTTGCAAAATTAAATCTTAACTACGGCTGCGGATAAATTTATTTCCAGAGCCATCGTTCCGCAGCAAGCAATTGCGGAACTTCGAATGCGATCCTAAAAACCTTTTATGCATATGTAATGGCGTTTTCTATTCTCGAAAAAATGTCACCTTCTCATATGGCAACGTTATCAGAGTGCAAAGTTTTAAAGAAGGAGCACGCAATATGCATGCGAAGATGCAGATGCAGAGAAACTTGACAGACCTGTCGCAGGGCAGAATAAATGCAACATTATTGCGAGAAAAGAAAATGCTATAAATACTTACATACATATTTGTATGCATTTGAGACTCAATAGAATAAATATCACAATAAAAAATATGTATAAACTTATTTGCACATCTCTTCTTTGCTGGAAAGGATGCAGAAATGGCAGTAAGCCCTTCGGTTGTGAGCCGTTTTCACATCAATTACTTAGTCAACTAATAGAAAAAGGGCTATGATCAACATTGCTTAACTAATGAATGGACATTGGTTAACTACAGTCAGCCATTAGTAAATTTTTACTGTACTTTAAAAGTATTTGGTTAACATTAACCTTTTAGTTAGCCAATGACTATCAAAAAGTTGTGTATAATATTCATAACGATATCTACCAATGTTGTCTTATAAGAAGAAAAATTTTCTTGTTTTAAAACAATCACTCGTTGATCAAAATAAGGAACATGAGCAGTAACGCTTAATGATAGACTTATCCTCTGTGTTACATTGTAGTATCAAACTTGTTGTATTTTTTATTTATTACTGTCTTTTGTTCAATATGGAAGGCCTAGTTGAAAGCTTCAAAGTAGTTTTTTGTGTATGGAAATGTTTATTGAAGTTTTTCTACTTTATAAAATTGAAGTTTCCAGAGCAACTCAAATCCAAATAAAAGTAAAACAAAAAATAAATAGATGAAAATATGTTCAGGCTGCCTCTCAGTGCTTTTACCTTCAATTTTTTGTATCATGGTAATATGTGTGTACCCATATTTATATGAATGTTATTCATTTATACATATTTGTATATATTTTTAATTTTCTAAAAACATACATAATATAATATAATGTACACAATATACATATATTATACAAGACTTATATGACCTTTAATAAATCAATTTTACAGAAAATTCACGAATATTTCATATCTCATTAAGTTATTTATTTATATTTCCTCCCGTAACAATTTCCCTTTTCGCTATGCATACTTAAGTAATAATCCTATATGAATTTTTTTTATTTCATAGACCGCGACCCCTTCTCCCACTCTTTACTATGGTTTTCCACTATCGGTTGCTCTTGTTTATTAATTTGCTTTCGTTACTTCTCGTTGGAGAAATGAAAGTGTCTATGGTAAAAGTTTGCTCACCAGTAGAGGTGAAATCGGTTGTTAGACTGGCTACTATAGTACTCGTAGTTATGTTCTCATTTCACTTTAATAGTATTTAAGCCAAGTAAGAGAGAGTGATTTAAAAAAAACACTGCAACAGAAAGTAAAACTTAAAATTTACCATATTTAAAATTAGCAAAACGGCATTTCAGGAAGTTAGTTGAATCAGTTTTTCATTTGCACTTTGTTCATGATACAGGCATATTCCACTTCTTAAACATGCATATAGTACCTAGATATTTATTCAAACAAATCTACACAGGTTTATAGACGACGAAAGTTTAATATTTTTGAACGTTGACTTTCGATATTTAATTGAATGAATTTGGTTTCACACTCCGAGATGCAGTAGGGGAGTGAATAAAGCAGGCGCAATAAGCATTGGGCATAACTTATGCATGCACATATCGTCGTTTAAAGTCAAAATGGTAAAGGCTTGAGCCAAGAGCTTGGGTGAGCAAATCCAATTTTTGGCAGCCAATGTCGGTTACGCGGTTTTGCAGAATGACGATACGCGGCTTTGTACTTTGAACGACGGTATATGTATGCATATACATATATATAAGTAAATTTGTATATTAAGGAGTTTTGTTTATTAAATAGTAATATGTCTGTCACACTAAAAACCCGATTTGATTTCTTTTGCTTGCAGCGGTCCGATTCGGTCGAGTACCAAAGCGTGAGAAAGCGCGAATATTAGCTGCCATGCAGCAAAGCACACAAAATCGTGGCCAACAACGCGCTCTTGCAGGGGAGCTGGATGATCAACCACGACTGATAGCTGCTGTCCTACGCGCTCATCTGGAAACTTGCGAGTTTACAAAAGAAAAAGTTGCTGCCATGAGACAAAGGGCGAGAGAGTGTCCCTCTTATTCAATGCCAACGCTACTGGTAAGTGTTAATATGTATTCATTTAAATAATATAGTATTCTTAACGCGTTTTGGTTAGTTTTAACAGGTAGTTTTCATTATTTCATAAAATTAGCTTACCCGGGTGAAAAAAGCAGATGACTTATAAAAATTAAAATATTGCTATGAAAAGTTCCTAAATGAATGTATAAAACAGGTAGACCCTCCGAAGAAAATTTCATAATTTTATTTTTTTTTTCGTTAAAAAAAGAGGGTTTAGTTTCGACTCTTGACTAATAAATTGCGTTCACTAAAAAATTCGCTTTTTTAAGAAAATCTTTCATAATCAAATCTCTATCGATTAATTAAAATGAAAAACTTTATTTTATGAGAAATCTGTTGGAATTTATTAAAGATAATTTATTTTTAATCTTCCATGGTTAGTAATTCATAGTAGGTGTAAAAGCCGCCGTAGACACGTGCATATGCAAGTATGTATATACATATGTCCCCTTTTGGTCAGCTGATTAAGTCAAGTGACATTTTGACTAGTTTTGGCTATTTTTATTTCGTTTATTTAATGTTTATATTTTTTTATAAAAGTTTAGCACCTTAACTAGCCAGCGCCACATAAATTCACATTTCAAATTTTGCAAAATTTGCACTTTAACCTACTGCATACCCAAGATTTTTCTAAAAATTCTAAATAAAAAGTTTAAAAGTTTTGGGTGCAAATGTTAAAGTTTGTGGAATTTTCATAATTTTTGTACGAAGTTTGAAATGTGAATTTATACGGCGCAGGTTAGGTAAAGTGCCAAACTTGTATAAAAAAAATATAAACAATAAATAAACAAAAGAAAAATAGCCAAAACTAGTCAAAACTGTCACTTGACTTAATCAGCTGACCACAAGTGTATGTACATATATTGAACTGCGATCTACCATTCGGTAGATCCTGGTTTGATAACAGGCCAACACAGTTGTCATATTTTTATTGAATATATAACCTAATAAAAATAAAAATAATTTCTACTTTTATTTTTTTATTTTATTAATTAGACTTAAAAGGCTTAAAAAAAATCCATAGTTATTTCTTTTTGTATCTAAGTATGTATGTACATACGCATGAGCATATTTGTATTAAATAACAGTTCGTAACATTTTTATGCAAAGTTCTGTCGATTAAAAACTCCGCAAGAAAATTGTCTGTTTATTCCAAATATATGTATGTATGTACCAATATAAGAAGCTAAACAAACAATATCTACACAGAAAGAGATAAAAAGGTCTACCAAATATTCATCATTCAAATTTATACAACAAAGCATTCAACAAAGTCAGCAAATATAATAAAATTAAACAACAACATGACATATCGTCATAACAGCAATAATATAACAATAACAAAAAAGACCGCACATGTCTAGAAGGTAGAATAAGAGCGCAGAAATAACCTTGTGGCAAGGTTTTTTAACCTTGAATTTGACTCTCGACGAGAATAGAATAAAAAACAAGCGCCGATGAGAAAAAAAATAAAAACAGAGAAATATTGTTTTGAAAAAGCTTTTGCAAAAATCACATTAAATGAAATCAAATGCCAGCTCTCTTACTCAGGCGAAATACATACATACATATGTATGTATGTAGATACACTGAAAGCAAATTTAGAGTATGCCTGTACATACTACATTCATAGATACATACTAAATAGGACCAAGTATGTAGGTATGTACAATCATACGTACGTACGCATAAGAATTATCTTATAAGCGTTGTTCTCATACTATTGCTTGCACCACATGCCATTATACATACATACATACATATGTACATAGGCTGGCAACTTAGTTGACTAACTTAGTTAACTAATAATCCATTACAAAATTTGTCATTTCCATATCAACGCAAATAAATGCGCGTTTGCTCCAGACGACAGACGTCATAATGACATCAACACGAACAAATCAGCAGTATGAAAACACAAAACAACTACACATAAAATTAAATACACGCGCGCAAATGCTGAAATATAAACCGATTCGAAAAAACCCGAAACAGAATAAAAGCTTGGCGCACATGACCTTGTAAAATACGAGGAAATTATTCGCAGTTCAGTATTTTGCAATTCATCTCCGTCCCCTTTGTCGCGACCATCGTCATTCCATTTTGGTGTGTCTGTCGTTCAGGCGTTAGTATGTCTGCTTGCTAATAATAATACAATACATACAATTCTTATAAACATAAAGATGTGCACTTATGTACATATGTACATTAGACCGCACCACCTAACATGCCCCCTCCCCCCGCCACCGAGTCCAAAATATTTTTGCAAAGCAATTTACATTTTTCGGATGCACCTGCATTTGGCAATAAAATTTTTTTTTAAATAGGTCTACTGGAATAATCTTAATACTTCCTTAGCAAAGGTTAAATGGTTTATGGTGAGCTTTAGTATAACAAGAACTGAGATCTGGTGGGTGGTGGTAAATACCAGAACTGGGTATTTCGGGACAATGAACTTTCGAATACAAATATCTGTCTTCTCGCGGCACCAATGTGGACCCAAAGAAATGATGGAAAATGTAAAAAAGGCGACCACTACGTTCGGCATGGGCAGCGCTGGCAGAACTTCATAAGCAAGTGTAAAAGTTCTGCTTTAGACTTAAAGCTAAGCTCAGTTAGTCTGTACTTAATTTTCGTAACTTAATTTAATTTAATATTTTGGCCAACCTGTTATATGAGAGACTGTGTTGGCGGTTAGTTAAAACTTAACTTACCGTAAGAAACTTAAGAAACTGTAGGTTTTTGCGGCCTTGTGGAAATTGAGAGCAGAGAGAGAATAAGGCTTGCCAGATTTTCGTTTTTGCATTTCTCAAAAACAAAATATTTCCGCTTCAGGCTTAGATAGATAGATGATTTGTTACGGTAAGTTAAATTAAGTTAAGTTTAGTCTAGACTAGAAGTTAAGTTCAGTCTGAGCGTTTAGGGGTGCATGGCGAACTTTTTATTTCTGGTACGGTCTAATGTACATTCATACATACAAACTACATATGAACGTTTAGCTATATTTTAGCAACTTGTATTTCGGCTATTTTCTTTTTCGTTTGCGCAATTTATTATAAGCAGAAGGCTTGCAAATAAGTATGTATGTATGTATGTATGCATGTACACGTGTAAATAAAAATGTTCTGTGGAGTTAGGGATTATATATGTACATACATACATAAATACACATACATCTGTATGCACCTTTTAAAATACTAGAAACCTTTCGCTGCTAATCATTCTTAACAAATTTTCTGAGTAAATTAAAAAATTTGATAGAAAACACCTATGTATATATACTATGTATATGTATGTATGTATGTATGTATGTATGTATGTATATTCAATTAGTATGCGTAAAGAACTAACTACCCTGCAGCAATTCAGACTCACCCTAGGTTAGCCCTCAGATAGTCCCTATTGTTACCAGCACTAGTCCCTCATAATTCCCCTGCCAATGGTTTCAACTGCCATTTTTAGCATTGGCGTGTCATTGGAAAAGGACCGGTCCAATCAACACTGACCGTCAGATAGTCCTGGACTAGTCCAATTTTGGAGATTTTTTTCGTTGGAGTAAGATTGCGTTCTGCACTTCGCAGATGCTTTTTCATAATTCGGAAACACAAAAAAAAATAAATTTTATCATTTTATAACCATGTTGCTTCTGCCGGCATTTGAACCCGGACCCTTCTGAAAACTAACAAATAGTGGCAAGCATCTCTGCGCACTGAGTTACAGCCAGTGTGTTCAAATGTTCACTTTGCATCAAGGCCAGACCAAGCGATTGGGACATTTACAGGGTGGTGTTCTTTAATTTTTTTTTATTGAATTTCAAGACAACATCACCCTGTCACTGCCAAACTGTACTTTTCGTCTATCTCTAGGCCGGTTCCTTGGGGACTGGTCGAAGGCTGACATTTTCGATGCAAGCAAATGTCCAATTCTGACCAGTCAAATTTTAACCAGTGAAGTACTAGTCCTTTACGTAAAATTGGCCGCCTTATTGCTGCAGGGTAGTTTTCACAATAGCCCATTCGATTTTACGATTAGCTTCGTTCGGATGTGCTTGGCTTCGCCATTGAATCCATCAAGTTAAGTTTGATAATGATGCGATGAACGCTGGCATTGGCATTGACATACACGAATAAATGAATGCGCTTAGGTTGTTTTTGTGTACACGAACATAGACTCACAAATATTTATTTTACTAAGAACATTTATGTCCCTACATACATACATACATACATATGTATATGTATACCACAAATAGTATATTTTAAGTGCTGTGAAATACTAAATATGTTTGGTGAAGCTTTGAATTTTTGCGATAACAACAATCTACCTAACTTAATAAAGTTCAAGTTCAAGATCGATTTGCATGTTTCCGTTTGAGTGCCTAGGTTTCTGTTCCAAATAAAGGGGGGCACATGTATGCATTCATATTTAGGTTGCTTCTAAAAAGCAAATTCTGCTTATGACAAACTTTTTCAATGAAATCAATTTATTTAAAGATTTACCCTTTTACGTTAGACATTAAATGTTATTTAAAAAAATCAAATCATCTGTAGCAAGCAAGTTTATTTGTTCTCCTAGGTACTCCCTTTATTCTATGTATGTATGTATATACATATGTATGTATGTACGTAAGTAAGTATACGCGGCTTTCTTGCACTGATTGAGGTACAGTGTGTACCTTTGTATGTATGTATATATGTATGTACATACGCAGTAGATTCTCGCAGTCCCCTCGTGAAGGTAAAACCTTGAACTCTAGTTCGTCGACCTTGACTAGAATATCAGAATAAAGCATCACGCACACGCGAAACTTAATTATAGGCACACACGCGCAACCAGCGAGCTTCGCTTTGTTTTCATTCTTAGTTGTAAAAGCCAAATAAGTTTTCTCTATGCTCTTTACTTTATGCATACATTCGTACATAGATAAACCTATATATATATATATGTATGTATATATGTACCCCACTATGGATCTCATACTTTTTTGCGCCATTTCATAGATTTAGTTTACTAGGAAATATAAGCTTTGACTTCTCTTTTCTAAAGCAACAAGCAAAAGCTCTTAAAAATTGTTCTCATGTTGGAATACAAAAGTACATACATACATACATATATACAATTAAACCTACACAGATATGTAAAGCCGGCGCATGTGCTAAAATACACTGGTGTTTCTTTGTAGTTATCGATTCGAATATTTTGTTAACGGTGAATATCACAACCTTTGTGAAAAATATGACCTTCACTGGGACCTTAACATTGTAGATATGAAAGTTAAATGCAAACACATACATACATATGTACCTACATACATATACACATACCTACATGTACTAAGAAATATGATTAACAAAGCTTTTTTCGTTTACGGATTTTTCTAATGTATACGAGTACTTCTTCTGATATTGGAATATTTCGCGATTCATAATTTTAATAAATATTCTCTTTTACTTTTATAGGCTTGCCCGCTGAATCCCGCTCCAGAGTTGCAGTCAGAGCAAGAGTTTTCTCAGCGCTTTGCTCATGTAATACGTGGCGTTATCGACTTCGCCGGTATGATACCAGGTTTTCAACTCCTCACCCAGGATGATAAATTCACTTTGCTCAAAGCCGGTCTATTCGATGCACTTTTTGTGCGTCTGATTTGCATGTTTGATTCTTCTATCAATAGTATAATTTGCTTGAATGGGCAGGTAATGCGTCGCGATGCAATACAGAACGGTGCTAATGCCCGATTTTTGGTGGATTCAACATTCAATTTCGCCGAACGCATGAATTCAATGAATTTGTCAGATGCGGAAATCGGGCTGTTTTGTGCAATAGTTTTGATAACGCCCGATCGACCTGGACTACGCAACATTGAATTGATCGAAAAGATGTATAGCCGATTGAAGGGTTGCTTGCAAAAAGTCATAAGCCAGAACCGCGCTGATCAACCAGATTTCATGGCAAAATTGTTAGATACAATGCCTGATTTGCGAACATTAAGCACTCTTCATACTGAGAAACTAGTTGTATTTCGTACGGAACATAAAGAACTATTACGCCAGCAGATGTGGACAATGGACGATGAACAGCCAGCGAATGTAAAGAGTCCTATTATTAACTGGGACGATCCGCGTATGGATGCTGAGGCAAAGAGTCCTCTAGGTTCCGTGTCAAGTACCGAGTCGGCAGACTTAGAATACACCACCTCATCAAGCACGTCAACATCCCACCATCACTCTAATCAACAAGGACCACAAACATCTGCATTAGCTTCGTCAGCACCATTGTTGGCCGCATCATTATCAGGTTCGTGTCCATTGCGCAACAGAGCCAACTCCGGTTCGTCTGGTGATTCTACCGCCGAAATGGACATTGTCGGTTCACATGCACATCTAACCCAGAATGGGTTGACAATCACTCCAATTGTTCGCTCGCATTCCCACCAGCATTTGCATCATCACCTAACTTCTGGTACTACAAATAGATACCGAAAATTAGACTCGCCCACCGACTCAGGTATCGAGTCGGGCAATGAAAAGAACGATTGCGGCATCAAAGCAGTAAGCTCAGGCGGAAGTTCTTCATGTTCCAGTCCGCGTTCTAGTGTTGACGACGCCCTTGACTGCACAGAAACTGCAACAGCAAGTACAAGTCAAGTTACAATATCTGTTTCACCCATACGTTCGCCTCAACCTATCAATCCGACGTCCACCTCTTCATTAGCTGGCCCAGCTAATACGCCAAATGCACTAAAAAGACAAATTGTGGACGATATGCCCGTGTTGAAACGAGTACTGCAAGCGCCTCCTCTCTACGATACCAACTCACTGATGGATGAAGCGTATAAACCACATAAAAAATTTCGAGCACTGCGACATCGCGAATTCGAAACGGCAGATGCAGATCCTAGTTCTACATCCAATGGCTCTAATAGCATCGTTAAAACCAACACAACAAGTATGCAAACTAATATTTCGGTGCAAAGCTTGCAAGCAATCTCACCTCCATCTGCTCAAACCCCGAGTAATGCTCCGAATTCGGTTGTTGTTTCCAAAGCGACTGCACCACCAGCATCATCCCCGCTTTCTAATATCCCATCAGAAAATGCAGGAAGTTGTCATCAGCAAAGTCAGTTGCATATACATTTAACACGTCAAGCGACTACCAATGTTTGCAACAACGGTAATGACAACCAAAATAACAACGGCGCCGTTCAGACACCACAACAATCTACGTTGTCGAGCACTCATTCAGTGTTGGCTAAATCTTTGATGGCTGAACCACGAATGACTCCTGAACAAATTAAGAGATCTGATATAATTCAGAATTACATTATGCGTGATCCAGGATCATCATCAGGAGCTCTGATTCCGAACACGCCAACACACCCCGGTAGCCGTAGTCCAGCACCAATGCAGCATTTATCACCTTTAAATCAGAATTCCTACCACTATAACTCGAGCGTTTCACCATCCTCGAGTAGTTCTCCAGCTTGTTCAAGCACTAATTGTGCTTCGCCCTCAACCACTACAATTGCATTGCCCTCACCACCACCCCCAAGCACAGTAGGCCCAACCGCTACAAGGTGGCACGGCCATTCTGTTATAACTACAACGAGTATCAGCCACCGCCAGCAGTCTGTTTCGCCAAGCGGCAATGGCTCAGCATCATCATCCTCATCAAATGGATGCCAATATTTCCAATCTCCACACTCCACATCTACTTCAATATCTCCTTCCCGACCATCGCCGTCAGCAGTTCACTCCCCTCCACGCCTATTGGAGTTACAAGTTGATATAGCCGACTCACAACAACCACTGAATCTGTCGAAAAAGTCGCCAACACCGCCGCCGACTAAATTGCAGGCATTGGTTGCGGCTGCAACAGCAGCACAAAGATATTCTGCAGTCTCTGCTGATGTCACTGTAACACCGACTAACGCCGAAGCCACTCAAAATGTGACCAATAGTACGCAACAACTGCAGGTCCACAAAGTCATGCTAGAAGCGTAAGCTTAAAATATTTGAGTTAACGAATAAGTTTAATAACTATATATGTATGTATGTAAGTTTTTATGTGAAGAATTCAATGAAGCGCTTTCGTGCGTGCATAAAATATTCGTTGAGATTAATGGCAGGAAAAAGTGAGTCGGAAAATTAAAGACTCGGATTATACTACCAGTAGTATCAACCCTGATACAAATGAATATCAAAGTATGTATGTATGTAGGAGCACTATGTATTACATAAAAGCGCATGTGTGCGCATATGCAAAAGTAATAAAATTAGGTGAAGTTTTCACTATAACAAAAAGAGCGAGACTGAATATTCATAAAAATATGAAAAAAGAAAGAAATATAAAGTAATGATTCAATGGGGCGGTGGTGTTACACGAAGTTTGACGTGAATGAGAACACGACTTGTGGAACAACATAACAAATCAGTTAAGCATATATATTTTCCTTAATACACTTAAAATTAATACATAAAAATTACTGTTAGGATATTAATCTATGTAACTTACGTATTAAAACAAATAAAAACAAAGTATAAGTTTTGAATGAGGACGGAGGAGGACCAAGAAGACGTTCGATACCAATTACAACAATTTCAATAAGAAATGTATGTAAAATAACTTTATATGCAAACACATGCGAGTATATGTATACATTTTGGAGAGGATTGCAGTTGGCATTGATATTATTATTATTATTGCTAATGGTTAATCGAAATCCCATCAAATACCTAATGTATTTTTAAAGCACACAAAAACTGTACAAAATGCATGCAATATAGATTAAAAATAATATCCCTAATAACATGGGAAACAAAGATTATGCTGCAATTCCTTTTAAAGCTTATCTATCTGTAGATTGGAGGCATATAATTTTAAATGTATGACAATGAAATATTTTAAGGATAATTGGCACAACGATAGGATATAATTTGTATATACATATGTACATAAGTGCACTCGTATGCCATTTTATGTTTATATTCTGCATATACATAGATACATACATATGTGTGCTTATTACAGAATGTCAAAACATCATCGTAGTGTGAATAATCCTCAAGAATAAAGCAATGATCTGAAAACAAAATCAACATAACAACATAACAGGCTAAACAGGCCGTTTTCTGAAGTACTTAACCTTTAACTTTAAAACTTTAACTTTATATTTAAAGGTTGGTTAAAAAGTAAATCTATATCTAAAGTAAAGCATTTCTATTATCGATTTTGACGTACATATGTATGTTTCTTGGTGGTAAACCCATTTAAACCGATAATAAAATGCTTTGCTTTAGACACAATCATAAATTTTAATACAACCTTTAGAAATAAAGTGAGCTTTAAAGTTACAGTTTACATCAGAAAACGGCCCGAATAAGTTTTAGATCAGCTTGACGTGTACATACATACATATATATGTAGGTATTTATGCCAAGCTCAGAACAAAAACGACGAATACTACACAAGTAAGAGTAAAAAAAAGCAAACGGTAGCGTTGGTATTTCGCTGTTGCTCTTACTTATGATATTCGTAATGTTTTTTTGTTTTTTATGAGCTCGTCATACTATGTACGCGCAAGTGCATATATTCATTTTTGGGCAAAAGAAGAATTTAGAATTAACTTCGAATTCAAGCAGATTTAAAAAATTTGGCAATAGAAGGAAGAAAAGGATTCTAAAATTACTTACATAACTTATTTTACGATTTCCGAAAAGAAATGTTATTCCGGTTAAAATAATTGTTTGATATTAAAAACTCTGCGAGTTTTTTTTTTAAGGAAAAGTTGATTAATGTTTAATTCTCCCTATTTTGTGTACAGAAAATTATAAATTTAGCTTTGGTAGGCAGTTTTACTTGAAAGACCATTATTTTTTGATGAAATCGTTTTATTGTTCGTTGGTTTGTTTTATCTTTATTAAATAAATTCACTATTTATCTGTTCGCGTGATAAAACTTTTAATATGTTATTTTTTACGATGACTATAATTATTATTGTTTTCTTAATTTCTAATTTAAGAAAACTCTTTATGATTTATGTAAATATTTCATTTTGTACATACTTAATCTATGTATCTGTTGAAGTAGTGAAAATCCCTTAATATAATTTTTTGTGTGTATGTGTCTACAATTTCTGGATGTATTGACCGAAGATGTATTTGATTAAATTATATAATATCAGCTAAGGTTCTTTCATTTCATTAAGATTTTAAGACGAAAATATGAAATTACTATTATAATTATTGTAATTAGTACATACTATATTTGTAGTAGGTATAAAACAAACAAAACTTTTTCAAATATACATAAATAAAAAACAAATATATTTAAATCGTTGTGTTTAATTTATTTGAGTTGAAGCTTAATATGTATATGTTGATTTCTCTTTATTCTGATACATTGATATGCATGATTATGTTGATTTCTGATATTCGAGATCTTTGTTTTGTTTTTTTTTGTTTTTTTTTTTTGTTAAATTAAATGCTGCCTTCATTTTAGTAAAGGGTATTAATTATGTATATGTTGAAAGCTTTAAATGGATTGATACGTTTCTATGATTACACATCAATATATTTATTATATTTATTGATAGCGAAATAAAATTAACGTAGTGTTTAGTTTCAACAGATAACCAAAGATGAAAAATAATTACAATTAACGACCACGGGGTTCTTGTAATGAAATTTGACTAGATTTCTATTGGCTTAATTACTGCTTGAAAATCGCAACAATGTTAATATTACTGCTCTTAAATATATAATTACTCCAAAATAGGGCATACAACAAATAAATAAGTAAATGTGGCGAATCAAATTACAGATCAACACATTTTTCTTAAATCCCTTAGTATTAGTATTTAGGTTTGGGGTATATTTTGTTATACCAATTACAAACACCCAGTCGTTTAGAAATATGGCGCTGCAAAATCGAACAGAATTTAAATTGACTGCGAGTTCCGTCTAATACAAACCCTTCACGGAAAATAAATAGATTTGCTATTTGCGAAATTTATTTTGGCATACATTCCTTTAAAAATATTTGATATCCTGAAGGAGTTTCTAATTTCAGAGGCGACACTACCCCCATAAAGACTATAAATTTCCAAATAAGTAAAAGTATAATTTCGTTAGGCAGGTTCGATTAAAATAAAACTGCATATAAGTTTATCTCGCATTGCAGATATAATTATGTATGTATGTACATAAATACATATGTAAGTAAGTATTTACTTTCATCTTATTACACACATTCATTCAAGCATGTAGTACTTATTATGACAGATCATACGTATTTGTATGTATGTACATTTCTACGTACATATGTTTACCAAGATAAACACGCATTGAACGAAGCTAGGCTAGGCTAGGCTTGAAAGATACCAATTTTTAAGGGCCAATACTCTGCATGTATTTATATTATTTATTAAACATTGAAGGTATAAAGTCCACAGATAATGTTTAATTTGTAAAAATTATAAATCACAATTAATACACATTTACCATTGATTGATACATACTTATGTAGATGAGAGTACATATTTGCAAATATAAGTGTTAGTTTAATAAGAAATAAGGTCCAAAATTGATTGAAAGTCATTAGAGTTTAAAGTTCTTGCAAACGGGATCGGATTGTTAAGCCGGCATCTATGACTGCTACGGATTTGGAAATGTTGGAATGGATCTTAAATTTTTAAAATCTCTTGATAAAGACCTTATAAATTCCACGATTTTAAAGAATACATATAACGAAATCTCATTTGAATGAATGATGCATACACAGATATACATATGTACATATGTATGTATGCATAAAAGAAAGATAAGGTAAGGCATGTAGACACCTGTATATAAAATCTTTTAAAACACGATATAAAATCATTGCATCCATACATACGTATATTATTAAATGTAAATATGCCTATACATACATATTATAAATACCTATTTATAAATTACTGATAAGAATAAAAACTTAATGTTTGTGTAATGTATGGCCTGCCAAAATTGAACGATTGAGAAGAACTTGTGAAAACTTATTCTTGTAGATATCGCATGACAAAGGTTAAAATTATGAAAAAATTAAATTTTAAACACAGCATTATTTATCTATTAAGACGAATTCATATATTTTCGTAACAAAGAATTGAAATCGAAATATTTAAACAACAAAGCATATTATCTGAGTAAATTTTATTAGATTAAAGTTAAAAATTTAATATCTGACGCAAGCAAACTTGAATTCTTTAAAGACAATGGTTATTATAACCCACGAATTGGATTGGAATTAGTACCATTTGTATCTCCAGTGAATGGTATAAATATATTTGCACACATATAAGTGGAGTTTTGTGTCGGGCTGACAAGCAAAGATCAGTCTTATTTCTTAACATACATATTTATTGTGAACATGATTTAAAAATTGTGAATTATAAGATAAGAACAACTTTTTGTTGTAAGAACATAATAAACCAATAAAATTGCATAAAAAAGTCCAA